TGTAGCTAACAATTACTTACATAGCACATCTCTTGCTTAATTTACATTATGCAAGTGTTTTCTTTTAAATATATAGTACCTTTGAGAAATTAGTTTTATGAGTTTGCCTCTCAGTGATTACCCAATCCCTCCTTACACAAGAGGGAACACTGTAAATTTTAATAAGACAGTTGAAACAAATCAATGCTACATGCATTGTTTAGCACTATTTGAGACTAAATAATTCACATTAGAACTTGTACAAAGTACTGTCTAGGATGTGCTTCCCTCCCATATGTGAAGAGCTACAGTATGTGAGTATCTGGGTGATTATAAGCAAATCAGTCTTTTCTATGATAATTGGTCTCATGTCTTATTGAGGAAGAACAATAAACATATGATATATATTTCATACTGCAATAACCCTTAGTAATCACTCTAAGATGATTTCATAACTCATGTAGAGGGCAATTTCCTTAACCACTTTACCTCCAGAGGATTTACACCCCTTCCTGACCAGGCCATTTTTTGCAATACGGCACTGTGTTACTTTAACTGACAATTGCGCAGTCATGCAATGCTGTACATTTTTTTTCCAGACAAATAGAGCTTTCTTTTGGTGGTATTGGATCATCGCTGAGATTTTTATTTTTTAGCGCTATTAACAAAAAAAGACTGTAAAAAACCCCCAATATAAAAAAAATTAAAAAAAATTCCAATTTCTTCATAAATTTAGGCCAAAATGTATTCTACTACATGTCTTTGATTAAAAAAAAAATCCCAATATGTGTAAATTAATTGGTTTACGTGAAAGTTATAGTGCCTACAAATGGCGGTATATATACTGGAATTTTTATTTATTTGTTTGTTTATTTATTTAGTTATTTATTTTCAATACTAGTAATTGTGGTGATCAGTGACTTATAGCCAGACTGCTGGATTGTGGTGGGCATTCTGACACAGGGTGAGAACTGACTAATGGTCAGTGACATCCCCAGTGACACTAATACAGTGATCAGTGCTAATAAAAAGCACTGACATTGTACTAATGACACTGGGCAAGAAGGGGTTAACATCTGGAGCGATCAAAGGGTTAACTGTGTGTTATGTTGAGCTTACACTGTGCTGTGTGCTGTTTTACTAGCGAGACATGCTGCTTTCTCTTTCTTCATGCTAAGATGATAGAGATCTGTGTTGTTTACACACAGATCTTTCCCCTCTGAGCTTCAGCGGTGATCACCGAGTGCCAGACGAGAATAGCCAGCCAGGACCTTGTGATTGACATTTGCTGCAACCAATGGCAGCGCAGGTAGGGCAGCGTGCACGTGCTCCATACCCAGAACTGCAAAATCATGTGTGTATATATAAGTGATTTTGTACAAAGTGGCTGCCCTCTAGCAGTATATCTGTTATTGGGCATTAGGCAAGTGGTTAAGTGTCACAGTTCTTCAGTACACAGCATTTCAAATGGTCACCAATTTGTTTTACAGAATTAACACAGCCATTTTGCATTGTATTTTCTGTTGAAAGAAGGTGAGTGTATCTTGGAAGAGAAAAAATAAATCTGGAGGACAACTAAATAATCTCTGGTATCATTGGATCATTGAAAAAGGATCAGTTCTGCTGCCTTCCAGCACCATTCAGCACATTGGATAATCATCAGATCTACTTTCCAGTAATATTCAAAAGGGGAAATATTTCTCACTGTGCCTTTGAAAAAAGCAACTGGATTACATGTAATGACTTTTTCATCCTATTGTATGCTGGTTGTTGATGATGTTAGATGTAAAGATGGTTGCCGCCACACAGAAACCAGGGCATGGAAAGTTAGTAATCATGAAAACAGCATTTACATAAGACCACAGGCAATACTCCTGACCATTGCATTGCCCTTGGCATGTTTTCTTAAGGTAAATATTACATTTATAGTACACCAACTTTTGTTACGTTATAGGTTGCCTATAAAAAAACTTGTATCCATTCTAGGAACAAAATGCTATTCTATACAATAAGTGCATCCAACACTGTTGGAAACATGTATTTCATAAATAATTGGAAATTAGAAGATGCAAGTCAATCAATTTTTGTATCATTAGCTGTAACATATTGATACTTATTTGACTGTTATCAATAGATGCAAGTTGAAACCAGTCATATGAAAGTGCATGAAATCCTATTCAATGTAGGTAGGTCTATTAAGGTCATGTGCAGCACAGCTCTTTTGTGACACCTATTATCTGCTGTGTGCCAGGATATGCAGCCTTTGACTTTATCTGACAACTGCATTTCAGGCTGAGATAAGATTCTGGATGAAATATGTTAACTGTGGATGCATTTTATCTAACCTTTACTTAATTTGATCTATAAAAAGTAACAAGTGTATTGAACCTGTTAATAAAAGGGTTTAAAACTTGTGCAGGGAAATAAAATAGGTTAATTGCTTGCAATAAAGAATGTCTCTTTGCTGCCCAAGGGGCGTTTTGTGGTAGGGAATCTTGAGCAGGCCTGAAGCAAAAAAAAAAAAAACCTACCTAAATGCAAAGCAAAGAAGCACATACTGAAAAGTAGATGTGTCCTGAGATTAGCTTGAACTAGTAAATGTAAGCTGAGTTTGGCAATAATTTCAAGAGGTTTGTGTGATAATTATACTCAAAAGGTACATTTTAACAATTACCAGGAACTTTTGGCTCATTATCTAATCAATCGGCATGTGATGCACTTCCCTAACCGATACGATTTAATCCAACTAAATATGTGCTATAAATATTAGACTTACTAAATATATATGTATTATGGGAGGTTAACAAAATGTGAAGATTTTGTGTCCAAGGTGAAAAATATGAAGCAGTAGAGTGGGATAGGTGGACGTACCTCTAACTAAGGAAAAGATGCTATGGAGAAATGCAGAGTGGGGGGGGGGGGGTTCTATTTAGGAAGGGGGATAGGTTTCTGGGTGGGTGGGGGCATGGGAGTGGGGGGGTTAGGGAATACCGATAGAAAGGGATAAAAGGAATGATTTTGTATGGTTTATATGTGAGTAATGATGGAATATGTATTTTATATGGAAAATAAATAAATATTTAAATTAAAAAAAAAAAAGACTAACTAATTCTTAAGTTAAACAAATGAAGTGTTCAATATATGTGAAACTCATATTGTCCAAGACTTTAAATGTATAAGCAATAAATGGAAAACATAAGAACATTAAAAGGTTAAAAAGGAATAAAATGACTTCCAATTCTGTGCAAACAATCCCAAAAGATGACGCTACAATCTGTGCAAATCCTTTTTTTTTCAATCCACAAAAAAAGTGTCAAATGTGACAACCTTGTGATTGTTGTGATCACACTTCTAGTGGACAGGATCTTACCTTATTTGTTAGACTTCAAATAATATAGGCCATAAAATGCTTCTACTTTGACAGGGACATTTAGTAGTCCAGGCTAGATAACTGTATCCACCAGTCCTCCATATACAGTAAATAAACAACTTTTTAAAAAAGCATACACAGACTCCATCGTGATTCCATTTGGAAAATAATGCAGTTTTTATTAAGAACAAGTTAATACACCAAATTGTGCCTTAGAATGGAAAGGAAATTAACCACCCAGACTTATTGTGGGCAAATGATGCTGCTGCTGCTGTAGGAACTTCATCAGGGACACTAGACATATCCTATTAAAATAATATAAAGGGCATAAGGTAGTAGTCATGCAATGGTTTGACTTCATAAAATGAATTGATTAGTTGAAGAGCTTTAAAAAGAAAAAAAAGGTGGGGGGGGGGATACATGTACCCTGCAATAGAACACACTTGTGATACTGTTATTCATATATAGTAACCCTGATATAAAAAAATGATTGTACTAATAATATTTTACAGCCAATAATCATATTCAAACTTGCTTTTAAAAGCAAGAAGAATGTGGCTGGTGATGCAGAAAGAAGAGAAAAGAGAGAAAGGCTGTTCCAAAACATAGGCTTCAGACAGTACAATACTATTGCCCAACACTAACCCTGTGTAGCGGTATTTTTGTACTGTGACTGCAGTAGATATAGGAAAACGTAAATGTGGAGTGACAAAGTGATCAAAGAAGGGCCTTTAAACTATAGTATTATCACCAGCTGTTAATGTTTATAATGAAAGTTTAGTGGTTGGGTTTACGTCTACTGTAACAAAACATGCCCTGTCTGTGTGCACAGATCTGTACATCCACAAATCCATTCACAGATCAATATCTGTCCGCAAAAATATATTGCCAGCTAGGTTTTCAATTGTCAAAACCACGCTTTTATATTATCTGGAGTATTTAACAATTTATTTCATCACTGGAAAAAAGTGCAAGAACATCATGCACCTAAGCCACCTCACATTACTTCACTTATATTCATAGCACCCCTCCTCCCCCCCCTTTGCTCATAAATAAAATACAGTGTAGGCTTATGCCAGTTAGGCCTATTATCCCCTTTTGCATTTCAGTACTATCAGAGGTAATGTTTCTGCCCTTTTTATCTTGTTTCAGAGACTGATGGCCTTTGACCTCTAGATTAAGAAGTCATAGAGGGTTATTTACTAAAACTTGGTGCAGCTGTGTATGGTAGCCACTCAGCTTTAGTTAAGCTTTGGCAATAAAACTTCAAAGCTGATTGCTTTTTCTGCAGAGCTGCACCAGATTTTGCACTCTAATTTTTAGTAAATAACCCCCATAATGTAAATCTTACTGTACTTTAGAAACAACAATTTTACTAACTTTCTTGTAGCCATCATGTCTGTGAGGCCATTGTCTGAGCTGTAAGTTGGAAGATACCCAAGATTAGGTGGGGTGCAGGCCTAGGACTTTTTTTTTTAACCGCCTCCCGCCCCCCATATAGTAAAATGATGGATGCAAGGCGGTTCTCTCGTTCTGGGAGGATGTCATATGACATGTTCCCATTTTAACCGAGCATGCGCGGCTCCGGGAGCGTGCAGCGCGGCAATCGGTGGTGCTCTGTGTCCCTCGGACACAGCGGATCACCTATCAACGGAAAGAGCCGAAGATGTCAGCTCGGTCATGTGATCAGCTGTGTCCAATCACAGCTGAACACATGTAAATAGGGAAATGCCGGTTATCTTCCTTTCTCTTCTCATGAGCTGTCACTCTGACAGCTCGAGAGGAGAGGAGAGCCAGTAATCGGAATCCCTCAGAGGGGACATGTACACTGATCATCAGGGCACTGATGATCAGTGTGCCCTGATGATCTGTGTAGCCACAGCAGTGACACCTGTCAGTGTCCATCAGTGCCACCTGCCATTTCCCATCAGTGCCACATCAGTGCCACATTTCAGTGCCTACCAGTGCACATCAATGCCACATATCAGTGCCCATCTGAGCTGCCTTACAGTGTCACCCATCAGTGCCAGTCAGTGCCACCTATCAATGCCAGTCAGCGCTGCCAATCAGTGCCACCTATCAGTGCCAGTCAGTGCCACCTATCAGTGCCAGTCAGTGCCGCCTATCAGTCTGCATCAGTGCCGCCTATCAGTGTCCATCAGTGCTGCCTATCAGTGCCACCTAACAGTGCCAGTCAGTGCCACCTAACAGTGCCAGTAAGTGCTGCCAATCAGTGCCAACTATCAGTGCCAGTCAGTGCCGCCTATCAGTGCCAGTCAGTTCTGCCTATCAGTGTGCCAGTCAGTGCCGCCTATCAGTGTCCGTCAGTGCTGCCTATCAGTGCCACCTAACAGTGCCAGTCAGTGCCACCTAACAGTGCCAGTCAGTGCTGCCAATCAGTGCCACCTATCAGTGCCAGTCAGTGCCGCCTATCAGTGCCAGTCAGTGCCACCTATCAGTGTGCCAGTCAGTGCCGCCTATCAGTGTCCGTCAGTGCTGCCTATCAATGCCACCTAACAGTGCCAGTCAGTGCCACCTATCAGTGCCAGTCTGTGACACCTATCAGTGCCACCTATCAGTGCTGCCTATCAGTGCCATATATGAGTGCTGCCTTTCAGTGCCCATTAGTGATGCCTGTCAATGCCCATCAGTGCCACCTACCAGTGCCTCCCCATCAGTGCCACCTATCAGTGTCCATCAGTGCAGCCTATCAGTGCCCATCACTGCAGCCTCATTAGCGCACATCAGTGAAGGAGAAAAATCACTTATTTACAAAATTTTATAACAAAAACTAAGAAAAAATGTTTTTTCTTTCAAAATTTTCAGTGGTTTTTGGTTTGTTTCTGAAAAAATAAAAAACCCAGAGGTGATTAAATGCCACCAAAATAAAGCTCTATCTGTCACAAAAAAAAAAGATAAAAATTTCATATGGGTACAGTGTTGCATGACCGTGCAATTGTCATTCAAAGTGCAACAGTGCTGAAAGCTGGAAATTGGCCTGGGCAGGAAGGGGGTATAAGTGCCCTGTATGCTAGTGGTTAAAGGTAGTACTGAGCTTTCATTGCTGGCAGGCATGACCTTGTAAGGAAAACATTAAAATAGAAATATTAAATAACATTTTGTAAATAAGTGATTAATAAAATGTGTAAAAAAATGTATATACCTGCTACAAACACAATATACACAACCAGTGTATGACAGTCAATATCCTCCTCCAGACTCCCTCTCTGATGGGTTTACCCATCATATTAAGATTTGAGGAATGGTGGGCATCATATGGCTGTTGGGTTCTATGCTTCTCTTTTTTGCTGCTGCCTGCCCATTGCCATGTTGGTATAATTTCCCAATTCATTTGCTGCTGCCTTCCCTGCCTGGTATAGGCCAAGAAATCAATACCAAGATTGTATTACTGTCCCTGCTCATGTTGACTTCACCTAGGTAGAGACAGCCTTACAAGTAGAAAAAAAATGTTAACAAATTGGGTAAATACCTAAATAAGGCATTTTATTGTATTGACTGTACCTTTCTACAATCTGCCCCTCAAATTGGTACCTCACGTGCTTTTCAAGCCAAAATTATGGCTGCATACAATCATCCAAAAGGTAGAATACAAATTAATGGCTCCTTGTTAAACCCCTTCCATATTAACAATGGTAAAAAACAAAGGCTGCATTTTTTCCTATACCTCTATAATCTGGCCAGAAATCATCTAGTTAACACCTTAAACTCAGTCCTACAAGAAAAGGGTATACAAAAAAGGACACTGTTACAACATAACTAGCTTTTAGGGTAAAGTGCACACGCAAGGGCTTTGCGCAAAGCAAACAAAACAAAATTTATTTATCAGCACACTTACCAGCTAGCCAGCAAAAAAAGACAAAAAAAAATGTTAAATCATGTTTCTTTAAAACATAGGTTTTAGATGTGCAACATTTGTAAATATATGTGGAAGTTGAAATGTCTTGTCAAGGCACCTCCATATGGCCTTCTTTAAAATGGACACCCTCCCCAGCATACTTTACATTTTTCAAGCAATACCAAATTTAGCTCTCCTCCTGACTGCTTTCCAAAAAGGTCACTATTCATCCCCATTTGCTGGGCATACTCAAAACAGGGACTGTCCCTGGCAAACAAGCATCCCCAGCAAAAATCCCCGGCAGGGAAGTCTGATGGTTTGACTGTGCAGCTTCCCTTTATATGTAACTACTGGGGTTTGTAATCTTTGCAGATGTACAAAAATTGTTGAGTTGTGAGGCTAGCTTTTCAATTCCAAAAGATAGATATAGAAAGTCCACCTGACTCTCGAGTAATGCCAAGCATGTCTAATTTGCTACAGTTTACCTCAGCACCATAATGGGGTGGCTGTAGCATCTGTGCAGTGGAGATTGGACTTCTGTGCTGGAAACTTTGCTAGGGATGCTTATGCCTGGTAGTCAATGATGCTGTACAAGTTCTCAGTGCTTACACTACTAAGCAAGATAACCAAGAATGTAGACAACATCACTATGCTAGAAAAGGGATATCTGAATCAACTTAACTCAATCATTTAAGCACAGATCTGGCTTCTTTATTTACAGTCCAACCTGGCTCCCAAAACAGAGGAAACTTTTTCTGCTTTCTGCTGTAAAAAAATTTACAGCTTTTCTGCTTTTATAGTTCAGTTAAAAGTTATAGTTATAGTTCAGGTGGTAAAGTGAGGACCAGCATATGGTTACTCAGTAACCACATGCAGGTCTTCACTTTTCTAACCAGAACTAACTGTAATGCCTATGAAATGTTTTGGCCTTGGACCCTTTGTTTCTTGGGGAATTTTTACAATAAAGCATCATTGCCCATATGCCAGAGGCACGAGAAATGACATCGATGTCATTTGTCTAGGCTAAAGGAACAGAGTCACAAGACATTAAACTGCTTAAAGCAGATAAGAAGTGTTTGTGAGATTGAACGTGTTTGTGACATCTACAAATGTTACATTAGACTGCTTAAATTAGATAAGAACTTGTTTGTGCATTTAAAAATGTTTACTTGTTTGAGAAGTTAGAAATCTTTAAGTTAAGGGTAGATAAGAAGCTGATTTGTGGCAAAAGTGTGATATTTAACAGAATTTAACAGGGTGTATAATGAGGGGCCTGAACACTGTCAAATTGGTAGCCTTCCTATGCAAAAGGGGATGCTCTGACTCTGGTATTTTTGCCAAGGCTATATGGGCTCATCGAATTGGTTGTGTTTAAGGCTTCTCCGTGACCCTCTGTGCATTTGCCCTGCTGGACCTGGCGCAGTTCCAGCCTGCGGTTCATCGGGTTCTTCATATGTTTAATCTGGTCTCATACTACAAAGTGAATGAATCAAAGTCCAGCATTTTAGGGATATTGGTAGAAAAGGCAACAAGACTTTCCTTGCAATCACAATTTCATATCCATGGGCAAACGATTTTCAGCTGGAACGCCCGATCGGTTTGCAACAAACTCACCGCCATCCACGACCTCTTTGTCTCCTGCTCCCTTAACCTCCTAGTGATCACCGAAACCTGGATCCAAGCTACTGACTCTACCTCCCCCATGGCACTCTCCTATGGAGGTCTCATTTGGACCCACTCACCCAGACCCAACGGTCGGAAAGGTGGTGGGGTTGGTATGCTCCTGTCTCCACAGAGTACCTTCCAAGTCCTCCCAAACCCTCCCTCTCTATCCTTCTCTCCTTTCGAGGCCCGCTGCATCCGGCTATTCTCTCCAATCTCTCTAAGGATTACAGTGATCTATTGGCCTCCTGGACCCGTGTCTCGCTTCCTTGACGACTTCTCCGCCTGGCTTCCCTTCTTTCTCTCCTCCGAGCTACCCACCATCATCCTTGGAGACTTCAACATCCCTATCAGCATCGATAACCCGGCTACATCCCAACTCCTCCACTTAACCTCTTCTTTTGCACTCGCACAGTGTATACAGTCCACCACCCACTCCGACAGGAACACCCTAGACCTTATCTTCTCTCACCTCTGCACTCCCTACAACCTCACAAACCCCCCCTTTCTTCTCTCTGATCACAACCTCATTACCTTCTCCGTCTTCTCATCCTCAAACACCTATCCCCCCAAATGTCATACTATCACCAGCAGAAACCTCCGCAACTTGAACCCTGCCCCTTTCCACTCTGCAGCTGACCAACTTTACAACAGTATCCTTCCCCTGTCCTGCCCTGACCTGTCCACTACTGTTTATACAACTCGCTGTCAGCCGCTCTAGACTCGTTAGTACCCCCAACAACATGAAGCATTAGACCCCAACCACTACAACCCTGGCAGACTGACTACACCAAAAATCTCAAACGACGCAGTCGTGCGCTGGAGCGACTATGGCGCAAAACCAAATCCCAACAAGCGTTCACCCGATATAAATCTGCCTTCCTAACCTACACTTCCTCCATTCACACTGCCAAGCAAACCTACTTTGTTACCCTCATTAATACCTTCTCCTCCAGTCCTCACCGGCTCTTCTCTACTTTTAACTGTCTGCTCTCTCCGCCCCCACCTCCACCCAGTACCTCACTCACCGCCCACGAGATTGCTAACCACTTCAAAAACAAGATCGACGCAATTCGTAGGGACATCATCACTGCTCAGACTTCCACCCCACCTAGCATTCCTAACACTAAAACCCCCTCAACACTCCACTACTTCAACCTCGCCACTGCTCAGACTTCCACCCCACCCAGCATTCCTCACACTAAAACCCCTTCAACGCTCCACTCCTTCAACCTCGCTACTACTGAAGAGGTCACTAAGGTCTTCTCAGACGCCCGCCTCACCACCTGCCCCCTTGACCCTGTTCCCTCACAACTCCTACGATCACCCTCTTCCTCCATCCTACTCCCTCACTCACATCTTTAATCTTTCCCTCTCTACTGGCACCTTACCATCCCCTCTAAAGCATGCGCGCATCACTCCCATACTTAAAAAACCCTCCCTGGATCCCACCGACCTGAACAACCTAAGGCTCATCTCCCTGTTGCCATTTACATCCAAACTCCTAGAGCGATTAGTCTATAATTGCTTGAGTTCCCACCTCACCGACAACAACCTCCTTGACCCCCTACAGTCTGGCTTCCGCCCCCTACACTCCACCGAAACTGCCCTACTCAAACTCACCAACGACCTGCTAACCGCCAAAACTAATGGCCACTATTCAGTGCTCCTACTCCTCGACCTCTCTGCGGCTTTCAACATGGTTGACCACCCCCTCCTCCTCAAAAAACTACACTCTCTTGGCCTCAGAGATTCCGCTCTCTCCTGGCTCTCTTCCTATCTATCACAGCGCTCCTTCAGTGTTACCTATAACGCTGTCACCTCCTCTTCACTCCCCCTCTCAGTTGGGGTCCCTCAAGGATCTGTCTTTGGACCCCTTCTCTTCTCCATCTACACCTCCTCACTTGGCCAATTGATACACTCTCACGGCTTCAACTACCATCTCTATGCCCATGACACACAAATCTATATCTCTACCCCTCACCTCACCCCTTCAGTCTCTGCCTGTATAACAAGCCTACTGAGCGACATATCGGACTGGTCGTCACTCCACTTCCTCAAACGAAATCTCTCCAAAACCGAGCTCCTAGTTTTCCCCCCAGCCTGTGCCCCCCCCCTGACCTCTCCATCAAGACCAACAACACTACCATCAGTCCCCTCCCCTCAAGCTA